TGAAAGGGAAAAAACGAAAAAAAGTTTGCCGAAATTTCCTCAGAATTCTCGTCGTTACCCCGCGTAAGTGACATGTGAACAACTCCTGGTACGAATGCTTACATATTTACATCCACACGTCTCGACGTCGTTACATACGCACATACTGCCAATGCCAAGAGCGAGAGCTGCCTCTCGTTGGGACTCTGGCATGGCTTTGAGAAAGGGACTCAACCAACAGGTTTCGGGGACCTGAGTTGCCGGGAGGGGCAAGTTATTATACATTGGAGTTTCACCACCCTAGTGATATGAAAAACATATTTCACGACTACTGCATATCACCGCGAATTTCGCGTTTTTCACCGAGTGTTACGCCACCTCACGTAAAACGCGTCGCGAAACTCCATTGTTTTATGACTTTTTGTATTACAACTGTGGAGCTGAATTAAATACAACTCCCTCAATACGTTACCAACAATACATAGTGAAAAAACTGTTGTAATCAACAAGTTGTGAAACTGGCTCCTATGAGTTTGTTTACTATGTACTGAGGGAATCGATGGCATCCAAAAGTCCAGGACTTCTTTGAGGAAAGGAAAGTACGTATACCCCTGTCACTATGATCATCAACTACAGAGGTGTCGACCTTATGTGTTGTCGACCCTCGGAAGTAACATGGATAAAACTAAACAAAATGGCTCTCTTGTTTTAACTCACTCTTAGACGGGACCAGATCCGGGTTTACCATATGATAACGATACATCCTATTACCACCACTATCTAGTTTTACCCGTTTCACGTGAAGTGAATTGTGAAATATGCTTTTCACTACTGTTTTTCATGTCATTTTCATTATACATGTTGACTGAAGAATTCATGTAAATTAACCTAAACATGATTTAGATATATTTATATATTTTTCAAGATAACGTATTCAAGAATTTGTATTCGACAAACGCATTCGAGCGTCACCCGAAAGGAAAGAAGTGCACCCGAAGTGCAGAGCTACCTGTTGTAGTTCTCGAGCGGCTCGACCGTACTCTAGCATTTCTGTATCTTAGTACACGTCCTAGTGCAAGAGTCGATTCCCGAACATAAGGGTACCCTCCGTGTCATCGACGCATCCACATCCACATCTGCATCTACCCCAACGTTCCGGACAGGTGCCGGGGAAGCTCGGGTCCCCGCCGGGAACGAAGGGCGATTCTAACGAGGTTGTGCTGGTTTTACAAAGGGCGATTCTAACGAGGTTGTGCTTGTTTTACAAAGGGCGATTCTAACGAGGTTGTGCTTGTTTTACAAAGGGCGATTCTAACGAGGTTGTGCTTGTTTTACAAAGGGCGATTCTAACGACGTTGTGCTTGTTTTACAAAGGGCGATTCTAACGAGGTTGTGCTTGTTTTACAAAGGGCGATTCTAACGAGGTTGTGCTTGTTTTACAAAGGGCGATTCTAACGAGATTGTGCTTATTTTACAAAGGACGATTCTAACGAGGTTGTGCTTGTTTTACAAAGGGCGATTCTAACGAGGTTGTGCTGGTTTTACAAAAAGCGATTCTAACGAGGTTGTGCTTGTTTTACTGCGATATCATGTGCAGTATTATACATCTATGTCGGCGCAGTATGAGGGGTACCCAGGAGTTTCACCACCCTAGTGATATGAAAAACACTAGTGAGAAACATATTTCACGACTACTGCACATCGTGAATATCGCCTACTTCTCGTAAAACGGGTAAAAGTCTACAGTATTCAACCAGTGTTGGAGTATATGTTCGCTTTCTTCAGCTGAGTACTGATTATAGGAGTTTATATACAAATTCGGGTAGAAGTGTACAGAAATCCGTGAGCAACCCCCTAAATTTCTTTTCACAACTTTGACAAATGTAGCCAATACTCCCCTACACTGGAGTTTCACCCGTTATACGTGAAGTGGCGTATAACTCAGTGAAAAACACGATATTCGCTGTATGCGATAGTCGTGAAATATCTTTTTTTCCATATCACGGGTGAAACTCCACTGTATTTGATTGTCACCATCGAGACTAGTAGGATCATTCCTCTCTTAGGAAGGGTTTCGGGTAGGCCCAGAGCGCCTATGTAATACGGACGCAGTAGTGATTGAATTTCATTTGTCTTGAGCATCGGACCAACTTTAAATGCCGTAAGTCAAACACACGGTGTATGTTCTATGATCATCAACGTATTATTCGAGTAGACAATGGTGACGTAGTAGTCAGGTTCGGGTTTGCTTTTTCACTAACATGGTACTTTGGCAGACTAGGTAGTGTAGTTCCTGTCTTGCAGCGTTGTGTGTTATTATTACCAAGGTATTCGTCAACTCTGGTCATGAGCTTCCCGGGAATTATCATTGCGTTATGTATGTTTGTCGTGTTTATTGCATCGTTCACTTTATTATAAAGCAGCACTCCAGCTGGTCCGAGTATGGCTGCGAACTCAGCAGCTGGTCCGAAATGAGCGGCGAGGCCCAGGTACATGTACGGAAACAAATTCCCATGTATAGTGGAGTTTCACGACCCGTTTTACGTGAAGTGGCGTAAAACTCCGCGAAAAACGCGAAATTTGAGCCTTGCAGTAGTCGTGAAATATGTTTTTCACTAGTGTTTTTCTTATCACGGGTGAAACTCCAGTATATGCATCGATGCGTTAACGTTAGTCGTATTGTTTCCCGGAATACTCATAATGTTATCATAGATTATTTATAGTAAACTGATTGTGAAATTCGTGAGTATTTCTAGAACCACCTTTCACGAGTAAAAACCAATTCCAGAAATTCCGCAATTGTTTTCCTGAACTTGAAAATTGATAGGAGTCGAATCGCGCGTGACTCTTACTTATAGACGGGTCGAGAGCTCGTATGTCCTCAGTGTTGGTTAAACATGGTATTCTCTCGGCGACTCGTGGAGGCGACTCGTAAGCTGCAGCTAAAATCGTACCTCATCTGTATCTTGCACACCAACCTCTTAGATACGCCCACTTTTCTCACCATCAGCTAGTCGCAGCAACATCATCATCATCATCACGATTCCCAACATGTGTTATACTATGTTCACGATACCAAAATTGAGAATATCTTGCTATCTTACATAATCTTGCATTTCCTCAACGCGAACCTCCCTAGTGTAAGCTTGTTCCTGCTATCCTATTACGACTTCTATGGCGGTTTCTATTCCCGATATCGAACAGCAGATAGCCGATTTGGAAGCTGAGCTGAGCCAAGGTACGATTGATATGTAACAGCGTGTAGAGTAATCTCCTTTTTTCTCAGTCGCGAGCCTATTGGAAGTGTCTGTTGATTCGGTTCAGTACGTGGATTTAGATGAACCTATTGATAGCAAGGGGAAACGGCGGAAGACCACCTCTCCTACTAAGGGACAAGACTTGGGTAAGCTGACCTGAGGTGAAGGGAGTTGTCTATGGAGTTTATGTTGATGCAATTTTACTTGATGATTATGCTGTGCTAATGTGTAATTTGGTGTTATCATAGTTGACTAGAGTTTCACGACCCGTTTTACGTGAAGTGGCGTAAAACTCGGTGAAAAACGCGATATTCGCGGTGATATGCAGTAGTCGTGAAAATATGTTTTTCATATCATTAGGGTGGTGAAACTTCAATGTAGTAGCAACTTGAATAACCGATTCCCGCGTTCATCGTTTCTCCATGCACCGCTTCTCTCCCCGCTGCGTATCATGATCATTATCAACGTCTCAGAATCACTGATCAATACCGAACTCTCACCGGCTTCTACCTCTTCCATATCTACTGCCATCGACACTTGTTGGGATCCATCACTATCACTAATATCACCACCTAAGCATCCGGATTTCTCTACTTCTCAAGCTTTTGCCGAGCTCACTCAACTCGGGCCTGGTACTATCGAGGATCCCTCTGTATACGCAATGGACCTCAGTCGCTTTTAGGTGATGTAGTAATACTATTACGGCAATTACTTGAAAATGAAGAGACTTCAGTCCTCTCGACAGAGGCGGCAGAAAAGCTATTACAAGCATCGATCTCGCGTGTGCCAGACTTTGACGGTCCCGGGCTGGCAGCGCTGATGGTCATCGCGGAAAGGAATAAGTAGTTCTTCTTGGATGAAAAAGTGTATCGGGGCGTTTAGTGTTAACTACAGGTCTACATTGGTGGCGAATCCCAAGTTGCTATCAGAAATTGCAGCTGTAGTTGTTGCACAAATCATCACATTGGGACCACTCCTACGGCCAGAGTGAGATAAGAATTCTCCATGCCATGTCGAAGTTACTCGTGTTAGGTTGATATCGACCATAGCAGGAAGCTTTGCTAGCTTGGAAGGAGCGCTAGCGCAAGCGAACCCGTCCGCGACTCCGCTCGGGCCAACTCCCCAACGACCAGGTAGTGGCGTAGGTTGGTTCCTGTCCTCTCTTGGATACTGATGTTCCCGAGGAGTGGTATGAATATATGTTCAGGCACTCCTGTATCATCGGCGCCTGTGAGCCCAACAGCTTCTGCTAGTTTATTACATACACCGACGTCTACTGCGTCCCTCACTACCGGGTTGACCTCTTCAGGAGGTCCGCTTGGAAACTCGTGGCGCAGCGGTCTTTCGAGGTGTCTGCTGGCTAATCTGGAAGATATAGAGACAACAACACTATGTCGATGCTTGTACAGTTTGGTGGTCCAAATAGCACCTCCTGCTAGTACCTCGACAGTTTCACCGAAGTTACCTGCTTCGCTCCGCCTGATTTTGGACCAAGTCAGTCACACGTTGCCGAGTGCTAGGTTGGACGCTGGGTCCGCCTTGCTGATGATCAGCGTCTTCTCAACGCCTGCTGTGGATGATGTTAGCTGCGCTGCTAAAATGGCGAAGAAAATGTGCGAGGCCCCGGATTTGAACTCGGGTCGCTTGGAGGAGATCGCGACTACTACCTGCTCGCACTGGAAGTTCAGCTATGCTGCTCGACGGAGAATTCTCCCTCTTATATGCAACCGAGTTGAATCCTCGGAGTTTTCATCGCCGAGACTGGTAGCATTGCTAGCTGCCACCTGCGCTCCGCCTCACACAGCTATGCCGGGTGGTCGGCAACACCCAAGCGGGGACGACCTGCAAGGGCTGGTCCAGAGCGCGTCCCTATTGAGGCTTTGTGCTGGGCATGCTGCTGATGCTTTGGCGTCTGTGGGGGCTGCTGGTGTGCCAGGGGGCACTGCATGGGTGGTAAAGGATGTTATAGATGTAGTACTCATGTGAAGGCGGAGCGAAGCGGCTTTTATATGTCTTTTTTAGGTTGCTAATTATGTGTCGGCTAGTTTGGAGTCTGAGAGTTGTCCAGATAAGTTGTCGGGAAGTTTATTCCTACAACACTTAGCTTCATGGTTGGAGTCTAATGTGGTGGTGCCAACTCATGGTGTTCATAGTGCTGCTATGGCACCTGGCGGAGTCTATGATCAACTATCGAGGGCTCGCTCGCTGTGGCAGGTGAGTTCACGGGGGATGGAGTCCTTCACTTATGGGGAATTTTCATAGGGATTAGCACTGTTTCATATACTGGAGGGCTTTGAGCTTACCCGAATGTGTATTGAACCTAACAGTGGTATGTATGTGTCTCAGATAATAAGGGCAGTAGCGTGTCTCCCGGAGGTAGATCAGTCGCTTGTGACTGCTCTCGCGAATATGACAGAGAAGGCTGTGAAGAACTCGGCGGCGAGGCCAGCTGACACCCAGCAGCTTGCCAAGCATTTAGCGAGGTTGCTCATCAACCGAGCGAAGGTGAGTTATCTGATGTTTTATTTTTGTTACTGTTTTCCCCTTAGGCGTCTGGTGCGATCACTGGACAGTGTATAGCTACAGCAGGAGGGGGTTCGGTGAATCTTTGGACGACCCTCACGGATCGAATCGTTAGGGGGCAAGGTGAGACGGTAGAGTTATTGATATACTTCACAATATTGTCTCAGGTCCGATATCAGTACCTGGTACGATCAGGGCCTTGATGGCGTTAGGGACTACTCATGACTCAGTAGGTTGGGAGATATTGTTGCGGGATTTTCTTGCTTCAGCTTACCAGAATAGTTCGTTTTCTCTCAAATCGCTGCTAGTTACTTGCTCATATGCTAGCTATGAGTAGAATCACGATGCGTCTCAATCATCCGCTGTACGATGTTTACCTCTCCCGTTTTCGCCATATCTCAGTTGGTCAGTAAGCGCCCTCTTACTAAGCTGGAAAAGGCATCAGATGTTGAGGAACTCGCTGAGGCCATCGCACTGGCGACTGACCCTAGGTATAGTCGAATGAGCTGCATTGGGTATTGTTGATCTGTTTGTAGGTCTAATACTTGTAAGAGACTTTTTGCTGAGAAGCGGGTGTTGTATGAGACGGATGCAAAGGCGATATTTGCAGTGTTGTCGGCGAGTGCTGTTACTGGTAGTATCTCTGGTAGCTCCACTGTGGAATATGCAATCGTACTGCTTGCTACCACTTTGAATCGATTTTCCTCTTCGCCAAGATGGATCGTAAATCTTACTGTGTGAAATGTTGTTCTTTGTCAAAGCGGCCCCTTATTCGGCAAATAGATTCCTGAATGGTATACTCCTTTGGCATAGCGGCCCTTTATTCGGCAAATAGATTCCTGAACGGTATAGTCCTTTGGCATAGCGGCCCCTTCATTCGGCAAATAGATTTCTGAATGGTATAGTCCTTTGGCATAGCGGCCCCTACTCGGCAAATAATCCCCCGATTTGACTACTCCTTGTTTCATCGTCAGCGGCGGAGCATGGCACGGGCAGCCCAGAGGCCACGTTATTACTGAGGCAGCATCGGCAACGTATATTAGACCTATCGGAGGAGGAGGTAGAGAGGGGGGTATGGAAGTCATACCCGAGGGTACATGGCTGGTGGTAGGCTCCATCATGGAAGAGGATATTGGTCTGGCTATGCTTACTGCCGAGTGATACTCCTGCATTGAATGTGCTCAAGAAGAGTATGGAAGAGGCTTTAGGGAAGGATAGGGGTGTGCCTCCTGGGATACAGAGGGTCCGAGAGGCGATGACTTTGTTGGGGTAATGGGAGGAGCTGCTGCTGGTTCTCTTACAGCAGCTTGATGAGCTGTGTGGTGGCCTCTCGAAGCGCTTGAACTCGGCTCGTGTGTACTAGGTATTCCTCCGAATCGGTGACCTGTGATTATATAGTCGACGGTGTGGTGAAAGCAGATATTGCTCTACCACAATACATGGTGAGTTAATCAAACCTGTTCTTCTTGGACTTGGTCTAGCTACTGCATTTTGACGCGCCAGAAAAATCATTTTCACTCGGGATATAGTGCTTGCCCGTCAGACCGCTATCGTCGTCGAGCCCGAGGCACTATTCAATGTTCACTCTAAGCGTTATCAGAAGACGGGATGGACTGTCCTCAGAGCCAAGGCGTTACAGCAGAAGGGATGGCAGGTACGTCTCGAGTTCGATTCCCAGATGTGACATATTTCTTCTCAGGTGATGGGACCAGTGGTACCCGAATCATTCCGTGCCGAAGATGCTTCAGTGGATTCTAAACAGCCAGGCAGTCTGGTGCAGTTCCTCAACGAACAGCTTAACGATGTGATGACGCTCTCTCACTTGACCTCGTATTTCTCTGCACTTCACGACGTTCAGTGAATCCTTTTTTAGTGCATTTGAGCGAGCTAGAAGCAACTTCTCCTATTGAGTGTACCACGTTTCACTGTTGACACCCGTACTGTAGGTACCGTACGATGCAGTAGTGACCATTGATGGAGACCAGGATCGAGAGGAATTGTCCAAGTCGGTGGGCAATATGAACCTTGGTGTTGGGATTGGCACCAAGCTTATGCCTGGCGGTCAAAGAATGAAGAGTTTAGTAATCCGGACGGGATTTTCCTATGGATGGCGATATTTGGTGAAACAGATCGTAACGAATTGTAAAATGCCTCTGGTGGCTAAGATCCTCCTTACCACCTTACGGTTGGGGACGACAGTGGATACCATAACTCTGCGGAATCTCGGCCTCACTGACAATATGACTGATGTACTCTCTGAGTTCATAATGACGTGAGTGGGAATCGATGTTATGCGGCTCTGTTCCCGTACTCGTGGCATTGTAATCCTCATTGGTAAGGTCGACTCGGGAGACTCTACAACGTACAATGTAGTGTTTAGTTGTTGACGTTTTTTAGATATGTGCTTCGGCATCCTACACTATCACTTGACTTGTCGGATAATCATCTCACGGACGTCTGCGCCCATCGTTTACTGACAGCAGTTTCTACGGGAGCTAGCGGAGCGAGAGTAAGCTCAGGTCTTCGATTAAAAGTGATAAATTTGTGTTATAGGTGAGCCTATGGCTAGGAGGGAACTGTATCAAGGATGCAGAGAAGATAGCATCGTTTGACAGCGCAGGAGTGCAGGTAAGTGAGTAGAAAAACAACGGCAGTGGGGTTCGAGCCGGGGTGCTATCATTCATCAGGGCGGCAGTGAGATTCTTGTAAAGGTGGAGGACAGTATGGACGGCGCTAATGGAGACCTCATGTCAGAGTCGCGGAGTGTGGTAACTCTCTGTGGCGACTTGTACACGCAGCAGTCTTCCATCGTCGGAGGCACTCAGCCGAGTGTTCCCTGACAAGTTTCCTATGTTATGCGTGGTGTAACATTGAGGTAGACCATGGCTGCTCTCTGTTGCGTTATTAAGTAGCACTTTATGGTCATCTCAGTACTTTTTCCTTCCCCCACTACTAATAATGATGTTCCCTGGTATGATGGCACCTCCTCCTAAGGAGTACATTGCTCCCAAGTACAAGGCACCTTTGAGGTAGGCTCGTTGTCTCCATAGAATTGAGTTGAAGTTGCTTTCGTGTCAGAGCGATTGGCTTCGTATTGTCTATCTATCTCATGATGCGCTTCGGTGACGAATTGGAAATGCCGGAGAACCCGAGGCAGTAGGAAGCTGATGAATACAGCACTGATGTGATAATTCCCGTTGCTTATATGCCCAGCAGTAAACATTGGTTTCCGTTGAAGTCATGTGTTGAGTAAGTTATCAGTGTGAGACTATTTACAAAACACTGCACGAGAGGATTAGGAGGTGAAGGAGGCAGGTCGCTCACGCGAATTTCCCGACTTGGATTCGACTTTGAGGGACGAGACGGAGTTCCTGAAGTCGATGCTATAACTGAGCTCTGAACTTTGGGCGGTCAGCAGCTTATATGTTCGTTTGTCTCCCGTGAGTCGGCAAGGTCACGATAGGATGGCCGCAAAGAAGGACTCCTTTACGAGTCGGAAGGTCAATGTGATCTGATCTCAATGAAGTATTATTTTCAGGATCTGTAGTTATTGAATATGATTGTGTTACGTGCTTGGCATTCAACACCCTTTTGAGTAACTCGATCAGCCGAGTGACATCACATCGTGGTGTTAATCGTTTAATAGCGATCTAGTGAGTTTCCCTTTTAGAGACATGGGTCGGTCACAGTAGTTGGTCCTGCTACTCGTGCTATCGATCAAAGCACCCTATCTCAGTGCGATTGTGTTTTCGGTTTGCGCAGAAATACATTCCTTGTCATCGATGTACAAAGGCTATGCTCTGTCGCTAATGAAGGCGTATTGGAGGGTCGTGAGTTTTCCGTAGGCGCCTATCGAGATTGTCGATGGGACCTGTTCTCTGTTCTCCTTGTCTGCGATTCGAGCCATGGGTGGCATAGAGAAAATGCAAGACTTGATTAGATTGGCAAGATTTGTCTTCTTCCTATTGATATAGAACACACGTTGAAGATGCCCACTCCTTGAATCGTTCTTGAATCATATCATTGATCAACGGAACCGATAACATACATTGGAACGTCGGGACTCGTAAGGTATTGTTCCATGAGAGTAGTCTAAGGCGTTGTCTCGACAATGTCAAGTTGACATGTTGCAGATCTTGTTCTTATCCCGTAATTATTCGAGGAGGTTCTCACATCATGCCCATCCGCCCGGTTGTGCGCCTACAGTCGGACTCTGACATGCCCAGGCTCATCACAATTTGCAGCGATGACGGAGACGAGGACTGCCCGTGGAATAAAAATGCCAAACGGCCAGTGGGGTCGTCTAAAAAGGATGACTCTCGCCAGGATGTAGTATAGGTTGTTATTACACCAGCATTGTATCACCGAGCTCAGATACGGCTGCGGGGAGTACGATTGAGTACTCTCTTACACAAGGCCTGCAGTGTCTTCAGGATCGATTATAGAGGTGGTATCCCAGGTTGTAGGGCGTTTTTCATGATCGATCTGTAGATGACCCGTACAACCTTTCCGAGGATTGTGCGGAAGATCCAGGGCTCGACTATTTCCTATCGCATGCTTGGGTGAGTGTTGCGGATCATTGATATGTTCCTGATGATGGGTTTTCAGACTATGTCCTCGATACAAAAGATGTTGTACTTGTTAGTGCATTTCAACCGGAAAGCCATGATTGTTGTTTCTACGGTCGCGGCTCTCATGGCAGCATCCATCAGGCTCGCAGCTCACATCTACAGATATGACGGTGTCCTCCTGTCGTTCATACCTGGGCCTGTCAATGCAGGTGTAAGGATCGCTATTTGTAGTGGTAGTAGTATCAATAGACCACTTCTTATTGTAATGATAGAGGCAAGCCTGTATAGTAATGAGAATGATGGGAAATCTATTCGCATGGCCTGTGTCTGAACTCATCTTCAACACATTTTAGTAGCCATTGAAGGGATGCTAGTGGCCCGAGCATTGCATTCAAATGACGCGGTCAATCTTGTTGCACTAGTGCTTGATCTAGATGTTTATTACTATGTTCTTTTCAGCTGATGGGATATTTCTTGGGGATGTTCTGTGGCCATTGGTTGCTGCCTACACACAACAAAACAATATTTCTCGACAAGGCCTGTATACGCCAGTGTCATGCACAACACGATGGAGTCCAAGCAGAGACTGAGATCGACTCTGGCAATATATCTTCGGTCACTTGTCATCAAACCCTATCTTCCGGGAGCCGAGTACGCTTTGAAGCGGCGGACTGCCCTGCGTGTCTCGAGATGAGGGCGGGGATAGAGAGAATTGGTGAGTATGGTCTGCACGTTCCAATCACGATTCATGAGACATATCACACTGTTGGGAGTATATGTCTCTGTGCCACTTAGGAATCGCCATTCGATTCTTTGATCATGGAATTGTAGCTTCATCGTTCACTAACATAGTGACACGATATGAACTCGATCATCGAGTTGGTATCCTCATAATGGCGTCCCCCTATTCGGGAAATAGATTCCTGGGTGGTTTCGTCTTTTGGCATAGCGGCCACCCTATTCGAAAAAATAGATTCCTAGTCCTTTGGCATAGCGGCCCCCTTATTCGGCAAATAGATTTCTGAATGGTATAGTCCTTTGACATAGGGCCCCCTATTCATTCGGCAAATAGATTCCTGAATGGTATAGTCCTTTGGCATAGCGGCCCCTCATTCGACCCCAATAGATTCCTGAATGGTATAGTCCTTTGGCATAGCGGCCCCTGATTGGACCCCAATAGATTCCTGAATGGTATTGTTGTTATTGTTATTCTTCCGGTATGTTAACCACCACATTCTAGCGTATGTCGATCATCTGAGGTTTGGTGTATATATATTATATCGATGGTGTGGTATGTCCTATTCCATATTGTTATTGTCCCTCAGGTGAATACCTACAGCATTCATCAACATTTCTGGTGATTCTCCATTCGGACTACTTCAACCGTCTATGGTGCGTTTATGAGTTCGCATGCTTCCTGGCACGTCACAAACCGAAACATATCCATATCATTTCCCCTCAAGGGGTCTGCTTGTGTCTGTTGGGACCAGTTCTGGCCATCGTCTTGAAGATTCTGAAGGGCAGCTTTATTGAAGGGGTGAGTTGTTTTAAGACTGCAAGGGTTCCGGGTGTTATTCTTTTGGATTACTGAGGTCCTTGGAGCTCTTTATGTCACGTCCCGTCATGGACGGCCTTGGAACGTATCTTCCTTATTCAGCCACAGGATTATCTCCTCTCCATCATGACGGGCCTGGTGTGGGTAGTGATCGACATGACCGCGGTGTGCGAATTGACGGATTACACCTCAAAGACTCTGAGCGAAAACATAGCGGTAATCTCAAGCACAGGGATCTTGTTTTGTCATTTTCTGGTCAAATTTCGGCAGATTCCTCTACGGTCATTTAATATTTCCGACACGCAATGTACTTTCGAGAGTGATAGGAAATATATATACGACAACATTGAGCATGACTATGGCAAGGTGATGGGTCCAGTGAGTTGTGGTGGTCCATGCAGTTCTGAGGTTTTGCAGATGACTCTGTTCGAGGGGTTTATCCGAGAACGCGTTAGTCTCGCCCTAGCAGATGCTCATCTGAGAATCCCTTGTCTTACATGCATCGCGATGTCGATACCTATGCTGTGGTTCGCACTCCAAAAGACTATGGAATGGGTGATGCTAGGCAAGGTAGTGTATCCTCTGTTCAACATGCACTATTTGTAACTCCAGATCAGTCATCCGGGAATTTTCATAGCAGCTGAGCTGCTGATGACGACGGTCTACATCAGCGTGACTTACCCGATCGCAGTGAGTCTAATGATAAGAGTCCGAAGATGCCTGAAGCATAAGTTTATTATTGCCCTCACCCTCACACTGGGAGCATGTGTAGCGCAGGTAACAGCCGTGGGAATCGAACCGGGGACCTTTGGCATGGTAGCCGCCTCTTAGATATTCGTACGTAAATGTGCCAATGCCGGGCCAAAGTGGTTCCCATTGGTCATGGCCTCTGCATTGCTCCATGCCTTCGCTGTTGCATGGTTGCATCGGAATTTGTGGCCGTCGGGTATGTCCGCTCCGATTGACAAATGTGCCCCTACTGTACACTAGATATGGTAAGGTATCTCCGTGTTTTTTTTCTTGGGATCTTGTACCAAAATGGCGTTGCCGTGCGCAACCTGAAAGAATCAAGAACATTTATTTATAGCTGAGGCTCATGCTGGCCTCTTACTGGTTGGTGAGGTGGGCTACCGGAGTCGTCGAAAGGGTTACATCGTCGAGTTTCGTCGTGTACATTTGTAGCCTGAGGTTAGCTTATTTCTCGAAGTCACTCCTGCTTCTTTGATGATGTCATGAAAGTTCTGTTCTGTTCTGCTCACCCTGTTCGCACAGGCTTGATAGAGTCTTCCTTGGCTTCGAACATGCCTATGAGTTTAGTTGCTTGTCAATGAGTTGTTCGGCGCGTGGTAGGATTATGTTCCCTCCCTCCTTGACCCAGTGTGTTGGGCTATGGTCGGTCGATGATGTACAGACTTGGTTGGAGTTCATCAACCTCAAAAGGGAATACGGGGAAGCGTTGAAGGTGGCAAAGGTAATAGAGAGGCCTTGAGACGGGTAGAAAATAGAGAAATAGTTGAGCGGTGCTATCAAGTGGAACGCGTAGTGCAGGTTTTGAAATTCAGCAATGTTGCGAAAACTCATTTTGTGTTAGCCAGAGGTATCCGTAACTACTGGGAATGAACGGTGATCACCAGTCGTGATCAGGCAGTAGCATAGTATTCGCTCCGGAATAAACACCAATTTAGTGTATTATTATTGGCTATGTAGTATTTGATATGTTTTGCCTCTTGGGCCCGGCCTCTGGGGGGCTTTTAGTGGCTGTGGCTATGCGTGACTGACGGTCAGTGCTGGAATATATGGTCGCTTCCCTCGGCTGAGCTTAGGAGTTTTCTCACTTATTACAGAGGTTTGCCTGCGAACTCGGGTAGACGTGTACAGAAACCATTGAGAATTTCCTCAGCAGTTTCAGTATATCACCAGCACATGTAGTTGACCATATGTGTATTTTGCAACACTGCTGGCCACATTTCTTGAGGTTCTCCATAAGTGGATTCCTCCGCACTGGCTGGTAAATGCGTCAAAAAGTAGTATTTGTGGAGTTTGATTGAATCGTATGTACAGGTTGACGGAGCGAAGCTCATCCGATTGACAGCGGATGTTGATGGTAACGTGTTTGGGTCGTCGGTAAGCTCGGGAGTTCGTAACCTCTTGGAAGAAGCTCTGAAGCCTCTGCTGGAGGTAGGGAGTAGTATTCGTTTCAAGACCCTCATATGCATACAGGCTCATCGTAATGGGCTGACCACGACGGGATCGTCGTCATTTCCACGTTCATTGGCTGCTAAGGGGATCTGTGATTGGAGTGTCGAAGAGGTTCAGGATTGGCTAGGGTATCTTGGGTTGAAGGAGAAGTACGGATCACAATTGAGAGCAGCTAAGGTTGGTGTGATGGGATGAGGCTGTACAGCGGTGTGGCTGTGTTCTTGGGGGGCTGGGCTCTATTCGTAGTGTCGGTTTTGGTATTGGTATTTGATCGCGCTCACGCTGAGATTAGTCTGAAATCTCACGCTGCATGCGCGTTCCTTGGAGTTAGGAATATGTCCCGATGAGCGTATACGTACCACATCAGCCTTGAGTGTTCGTATTAATGTGAAGGCGTGTATGTAGAGGTTGAGTAATATGACTTCATCAGTTTATCGTTGGGCAGGCGACCGTACGATAGGGTGCAATCCTTCCTTATAATCTACTACAGTTGGATGCGTTCTGTGTATCGGAATTGTTCTTGCGCTGATGTCGGCCGTGTGCGCGTATGTTGTTGCATGCACTCGACCGACCAACGGGCTCATTCACTGCGCCGAACGAAGGTGTACTTCCGAAGTACTACTTCGGTAACCTTCCTCGTGCATGTTTACCGATTGTATTGGGATATATAAACATCTGGGGTGTTGAAAACTAGACTGACATTAACATGAAGTTTCTTCATTTCCGCCTTGTAACACAATCAGAATTGACGATATTAGTAAATGTTGTATAGTTTTTCTATACTTCTACGCAATGCCTTTTTTTCTGGTATTTCTAACGGCCTTCGTGGACCTTATCTGTACGTTAAAGGGCTGGAGCTTCGTGGACATTATATAGTTTTTCTATACTTCTACTCAATGCTTTTTCTCTCGTATTTGTAACGGCTTTAGTGGACCCTATCGATAGGTTAAAGGGCTGGAGCTTCTCTATATGATGTCGGCGATACCAGAGAGCCCATTTCGGGAAATGGGCGTTGGTCCGGAAACTCTTGCTAGAGTGGAAGAAGCGCTGAAGAAAAAGGTGAGCGGTTTTAGAGGGTATCTCGCCGTGGGTGAGATCATTGATATGCTGTTTACCATTCGTTTTGAATATTCTGCGAACTCATCTTGAGAGTTGCTGAATTAGTAATGGTGGATTTCATTCATGTTTTGAAATCTTTTTGTGGTTTCGCGATTTTTGGAGAATATTATGTGCCTCGTGTTTTCATCAGCATTCCCGTTATGATCATTTTCTAATATGTTGGCGTATATCATTGCATTTGTATTATATAGTTGCTGCAAGGCTCCTAGAATGGATCTCTGTGGTAGATTGAAGGGTTGCAGTACTCGAGTGAAGGCCTCGAGACAGGAGTAGGAAGCCGACTCATGCTGGGGCAGTTGGACAATGGTGCTGTTAGTGGTCGAGGTAAATGACGGAGTTATAAAGCATAAATATCACGTCGTAAATGATGGAGTTATTCTAGTTGTTCCATCACGGATGACAGCAACTGTTCTATCTTCTTGTGCTCTTCCAGAGCAGTGGTATAGAATAGTCTTGTAGACTTCCTTTCTATCTATATCTGTTAGCTCTAGTGGAAGTCACTAGCTCTGTCCTGTCTTCTGAGCAGAATTGATTGTACGCTTGCAGCGCATAGGTTATGACCTGTGCACTGTTCAGTGTTGTGAGGATATGAGAACTGTTGTAAGATAGTTGTGGATACTTATTTCTTCTATTTAATCTACTCGTGTTAAGATGACTGGAACGCCTACGCACACCGAGACTGAGGACAACGACAGCTGACACTCACACTTTGATTATTTACATGACCGATTATGTTCCTTTGGAATATTTTTTTGCGTGCAGTCCGTGCTATGGTAGAACTGGCTGGATGCTTGGTTCTGACTGTTTAGTTATGTTGGAACAAGTTAGTCTGTGCGAGACCTTCGAGTTCCGGAATAACCTCCTGAGATGTGGACGAAGCCGATCGGGAAATGATGTTGTTGTTTTTGACAGTAGGTGATGGTCTTGGTTTTAGATGGGCAAACCGTAATCTCTTGCTATGGTTTACGCCGTAAGATACGGTGCGGGTATAGATACTATAGCCCAACTTTAGAGAACTCTTCGTAGACGATGTTCCTGCGTAATTTTCTGTCTTATTTCGGTTCATGTTTGCATGGGCGAATTCTGTACTTCTTGAAAGAGTATAAAGTTACCGTACTTCTTCCTCATTAATTTTTTCATCCAACATGGAGTCTCCATGCTGATTGAATAATGATCATACTCTGTCTAGGGTAGCAAGGAATTTTCACTGGATCTCGATGAGCTCCAATGTGCATTGACATGGGGTCAGGAGATCATCGATGTCATTGATCGCCTGAGGTTGGTGGTTCAGTTCACGTACTATGTCGGGCGTTGCAACATAGGTTGGCCCGCGACACTTGAGTATTCACTGCTATTATGCCTCAGCTACAATGAGCCGTCGTCATTTCGAGGTGGAGATTGCGGATCGGGATGCAGACACAGCAGTGGTAGGATGCCTTGCCTCCCCTGTGAGATGTTGATAGGGTTATCATTATAATCATGTCTAGCCCTAGTGTGATCGTCAAGGGGTTGGTAATAATCTTATATGTGGGAGAACAGCGAAATATCGCGAATCTGGCTGATTGCCAATCTGGTTGTTAAATCAATAAAGAGGAAGAAGAACCCAATTACGATCTCGAGCCAAGATGGCGTTGAATGTTCACTCACGATGGGTTGTGGTGGGACTGTTGTTCTCTGTCTGTATTGCTTCCATTCTGTGTGCTCACTGCATGGCATTTTGGGAAAACTGTGGGGGAACATTCGTCGGTCATTTGCTAGCTGCTTCTAGCTCCTAGGGGTGCTTGTAGGTACGAGATATGGGCAGCTCTACTGGTACGTTCGTGATGGTGCCGTACGCCAGAGTGGAAGCGGATGACATCGAAGATTTCCAATGTGAATTGCCTGCACGCTTGAGGTTGGGATGGCGTAAGACGCGATTGCTTTCCGGACTGGGGGTTTCCTTCTTACACATAGGGAAATGTTGATGTGCTTGAGTAGTATTCGATCAGTGTTGGAGTAGGAATATAGGTTCGCTCACTTCAGCTGAGCTCAGGAGTTTTCTATACATTGTTGGAGTAGGAATATATGTTCGCTTTCCTCACCTGAGCTCAGGAGTTTCCTATACAGTGTTGGAGTAGGAATATATGTAATCGCTTTCCTCAGCTGAGCTCAGGAGTTTCCTATACAGTGTTGGAGTAGGAATATATGTTCGCTTTCCTCACCTGAGCTCAGGAGTTTCCTATACAGTGTTGGAGTAGGAATATATGTTCGCTTTCCTCACCTGAGCTCAGGAGTTTCCTATACAGTGTTGGAGTAGGAATATATGTTCGCTTTCCTCACCTGAGCTCAGGAGTTTCCTATACAGTGTTGGAGTAGGAATATATGTTCGCTTTCCTCAGCTGAGCTCAGGAGTTTCCTATACAGTGTTGGAGTTGGAATATATGTAATCGCTTTCCTCAGCTGAGCTCAGGAGTTTCCTAAACAGTGTTGGAGTAGGAATATATGTTCGCTTTCCTCAGCTGAGCTCGGGAGTTTCCTCACTGATCGTAGGAGTTTATATATGAACTAAAGTAGAAGTGTACAGAAACTAACGAGAATTCCCCGAAGTTTTTATCGAAATCTTCATAATACCATCGTCCACACATGTAGTTGACCATGTGCATAACTTTTCACACTGTTTGCGATGATGAGCTGCCAGGAGTCGCGAGTATACTGGTTATGTACCCCGTCACTGTCGCGTTGTTGTAGGCACGGATGTTTATATATCCACCCGAGTGTGTGACGAGGATGAGGGCCTGTTGGGCATCTGCGTTGAGGTCGAGATCGGGTTTGGAGAAGATGCTGGGAAAGGTATGTGGGACAGACTGTTGACCAGTGAAGGTCGATGATTAACTTCATTGTAGTTGTGTGTAGCGTGATGGGCTGAAGTTGAGTAGTTCGCTCATTGACGTCGGTTTTGTTTTTGAACTCCCTGATATTACGAGGAGTTGCCGAGCAGCGGTGAGGTTAAATTACTGTTCAGAATGCAAGATCACACATTATTTCATCTGAGCGTTGTCTCTGCTGTTATCAGTTTTCGGTCCATTCTCTTCCGGAGAGGAAGGTGACGGAGTGTCCCTGATCGCAGGACGGGATCCAGACCGTTGTTCGGTGGTGCTCACGGATCCTCAAGTCAGCAGCGTACATTGTAAGCCTTGTTCGTGGTGGGGTGTCGAATTCACTACGTGATGTGAATTCGTGAACGAATGTATGAGGGTTGTGGTCAGGTGAGATCGTATGGTGTCCAGATGGCGAAGGAATGGTAAGGATAAGGGATTTCTCCAGCACCAATAGTAAGTGATCTTAGCACAGCTCTGTGGTAGAGTATAGTGATCAGGGACGTGGCACAGAGTTAGACCCGAGGGTGATGCCCTGGAGAGTTCTCCGTATATTATATATGCGGGGGATGTTATCAAGGTTGGCCTATGGGGATGCGTTGTCTCTTTTTACTAGCATTCGGGGAGTTGTGGTTCATCGCGTCGGCATTTCTTGGAAAAATGATCATGTTCCAAGCTCATGACCGGAGTGATGACTAAGCTGTGGTTGGTATGACTCCGTGTTAGGCGGGTGAGGTTGCTTTCGTACTGTTCGATCGGCTCGCATGGTCTGGTGTGCCAGTGGATGTGGCGGATGGTCGAGGGGAAGGTCTGGGTGACGCTAGTGCTGCAAGCTCGTTGGTGAGATGCCCTCGAAGAATTGGAAATGAATTTTGTCACATTTTAAGCAGATAGTGGTCATACCACGCCATGCGTTACAAGTGGATTGTGTTTGATTCGGAGTGAACTACTTAGGAGTTCCTAATTAGTAACTCTGAGAATTGTTAGGCGTGTTAGGGCAGCTTCGTCCACAGAATAAGACTGCTAGATGATACTCGATGCAAGATCATATCGAAATCGATGGCACGATCCTCCTCAGATGCTGGTCCCGACTCATCAGGAGTTACCTAATGCCCTTCCAGTACGGTCAAGGCATCGAGGGAGTAGTAGTAGGAGTAGGAGTAGAAGGAGGCCTGTAGCGGCTCGTAGTGGCCACCACCACCACCATCATCGTGGCCTGCCTACTAGGGGAGTTCATTCTGTGGCTACTGATCGCGATGTGTCGAGATCGGTAAGTGGATATCATGTGTAGTCTCTGTATGCATTGTCCGTCAGTTCGTCGAGGACCCTGAGAGAGATGGTGGAGCGCCCAGCATATCCCCAGCTGAAATTTTCCATGCGCGGCTTGAGATGCTGTCACTACAGCGAGAATCTCGTATGGTAAGAACCTAACGAAGTCAGGCCTATCATTTCTGCTGGGTTGAATCGACCTAGTCCAGACTGGGTCGTAGAATGAATTTCACGGAATGCGCGATCATCTAGCGGCTGGTTTGAAGATATTACTAAGAGTGTTACACAGTGCTGGTAGTTTCCTCACTTATCACAGAAGTTTACATACAAATTCGGGTAGAGGTGTGCATAAACCAACAAAAATCTCCCAAAATTTCCTCCCAGAATTCGCATAACGTCACCAACACATGTCGTCGAGCAAGCACATATTTTCCAGCACTGGTTTTACACGTGTTAACGGAAATATTCGGCGATGTTTTTATCGTAGGCTCCATCAGTGCCATCCGCGCCAAGAGAGTCCCAACTCCGGTGCCTGGTAGTAACTCTGGCTGACTGTAATGCCCTGCTTGGCACGTGGGCTGAATTCCTGTCATTCCATAAACGTGTTTGATAGTCAATTTGAAGTTATGAACTTGCGCCCGAAAAGCGTGCGCCCGACTATGTCGTGCTCGACTGTGGTATGTTGAGGAATTTCTGTTGCGCTCAGGATAGTATCCTCCGTGATTTCCCACCCACTGGTGGTAACGCTGTGGATGGAGTAAAGAGCGGGGATGAAAACCTGGGGAAGAGTTATGGAAATAGCGCTCAAGTCGACGATGAGGATGCTTGTAAAGTTTGCTATGAGAGGCCAATCGATACGGTGAGTGTACGGCTTCTCTATAGTGCGTGCCGCATGTGGAGAATATGCGTGTTCTTTTTTGGAGGTATTGATAGTGAACAACTTGTCGCAATCATAGTCTTGAAAGATCACTTTTATCACATCCCATGTTCATAGCAAGCGTTATAGTTTCAGATCGGTTCTGATTAATCTCGGGAAATAACGCGCATTTTCTACAGTTGCATCTCAAATTGATACGCACTGTTTTTCACTCTATGTCTCTATGGGGGGTGCTGCCTGGGCCGAATGGTTGAAGCATCATTTCAAAAGTTTTTCTCTCTATTAGGTTCTAGTACCTTGTGGTCACTTTGTAGTCTGTAGTGCCTGCGTGTTGAGGTTGGATGGTACTGACAAGCAGTGTCCGATCTGTCGTACTACATACCAGCTGGCGCAGAAGATTTTCAAGTAACCTTTCGATGACTCTCCTCCACTCCTGGCTCACCGAGCTCGGAAGCTATGCTTGGTCTCCTCGTTGTGGATCTACATACTTGCATGATCTTAGGCATATAGGACGTCTACTTGTGCTAGCAGCAGTGTGTTGAAATTGTTATCATAACAGTGTTATTGATGTTTGACCAACATCCATAGCAGTGTCAATCAGTGTCGCTGGAGTTGAAGTATTGGAGTTGTCGGATGATATTTGGTGGCAGGTCTTAGCCGGAAATTCTGCTTGGGAAGCTCCCGCAAGTCTACGTAATGCGACTACCTTCAATGCAGCCTTTCTGTCTGTACTAGCGTCATGTCAGAATTGCCTTGGTCTCTCCATCACCAGGGGGTTATGTTTGAATAGTTCGCTGTTAATCAATCTGGTCGTGTGTGTTGGTAGAATTTCCCAATATGTCAGCAGCAACAGGCCATGTGGCGGGGATGGGTTCAGTTGCCAGCTCTCCGAGGGATGCCATTAGCGGGTTGAAAGCCAACGTTATGGTAGTGCAGTCCGGGACAAAATTCTTGGACGGAACTGGTGTATTGGAAACTTCTGGTGTATAAAAATCGGAACACTTCTGGCGATGGGCTGTGAGAGCACTGTGCTCGTGTGATGATGGAACTAACAGGCCCTGAAGTTCGTGTGGATGCATGATTAGGTTTGTGCACGTGTGCGACCACTGTTCGGGTGTGGGGCGGAAGGGACATCACAGTGCGTAATCACAGCTGCTGATAAGAAGAGGATAGTAAGTTATCGGAAATGTATATCTCCTCGTCAGGGTTGATTCGAATATGATACTTTCGCCAGGTATTGGAAGACCCTCGTCATCGAGAGCTGCCGAAGGAATTTCCATTCGATCACGTCTTTGGTAATTTACTCTTTCGCGCCAACTCGTGCCTCGTTCTCGTACCTCTCCTTCCTCGTTGTCGGACGTGGGCGTTAGATGTCAACATCATGTGACTCAGACTCTTCTGTGACAACCTCGACCATATTCAAGACGCACGTCGCTCGAGGAATCGATGCCGCGGTGGGGTTGCATGCGAATTGTGATCCGTAGATAATCACGTTTGTTGTGGCAAGGTTCTATCTCACGTCCCCTGCACAGTTTTCGCACATGGAGCAAGCGGCAGTGGGAAGACCTTCACTATGCAGGTGAGAGGGATATGCGACATATTCATACTTATTCGTCGAGCAAGTCAATACGGAATTTTGAGCTGAAATCTTGAACCGCCTTGGAGATGTTCGCTGGCGGCTCGTCAGCTTGACACGATTGATGTCACGGAAAATAACAAGCTAGCTATCGACGGAGTTCACATCAAAATTCATCGCTCGGTAGCTGGCCACTATGTCCAGCACCTTCTCTACAATATTGGATATTACTGACATCATATGAGTGTTGGTGATTAACTTCTACCCGTTTTCATTGTTGACATACATATTCTCCAAGTGTTCGAGAAGCTACCACCAGTCGTCGGTCGCACAAGTTCGGGTCTCGATTGTACTGTCCGACAGTACATTCGTGGATGCTTAGAGAGCATGATTGCTCACGAGTAATTGGAGTCCTGGTGATGACTATGATAGTCGCGCTCATCATTATGGTAGCGTGCCGATTCGATGACAGGAAAATCTTCTATGGCCCAGACTGCTTGCGTACACATTCCAGTGACGACAACGACATGATAGACCCTTTTGGAGGTCAAGGCCAGCCTGTCGACCCTCGAGGATCCTCTACCATTAACAGTATAGATTTTGGGCATCTTGCCCGAAGCCCGGCATCTCGCCCTCGTGGTGTACCATACCCACGAGTTATCTACGCGGACAAAAACTGCTGCGGGTCGAGTCTCACTGTAAGACAGAGTATCTTCCCGGAGATGACTGTCAGACTGGACGCTTTCCACGTTATGCGCAGGTTCAACAAGGGCATGTGTCAAGTCGATCCACGATTTGTAAGCAAGTTTCGCGTCATGAAATTCGCGATGAGAGATATACATTTTACCGGAGTCTCCGGCCCGAAGACTTTGTTCGTCTATTTCGTTGTCTCGTTTCTGAGACGAGGAGGTCTTGTCCTCTATCAGTTAGACTATCTCACCGAGGTAAGTAGCAGCTAGGGTATAGCCTCGAGTAGCTGCGAAGGCTGGCAACAAGCTCGCTATATTTCACCACGGTCAAGCAATGATACTGCACTACGTTCAATGAGGGTCGATTGTAGATCTTCTGTTTGTGTGGCAGAGGCTATGTCAAGCCTCCTGGTCCTTGCGTTATACCGTTCATTTCGAGCGTTATTTGTTCCTTACAAATTGAAAGGATCCATTGTGTATCAATTGTTAGTTATGGTGACTCCGATTGAGTCACGAGATGAAGTGCGTTCATGATAACAGCGTTTGTATTGGCTTCTGATTTCAGGGCATAGAAGGTCAACCCGCTGAGCCAGTTGTTAGCGGAAACGAGACCGGCCTGATTCCTATGTGCGTGGAGCGGATCTTCAAACGAGTTACAAGTGAGATGTGTTCATTAGGAGGCAATATCAGATGTGTCCTGGAGATAACTCGAGTTCGTTGTAGGTGATATGATGGTGACGATGTCTGTCTTTGAAATCTATCAGGAGAAGGTTCGAGATCTCCTCGCTCAAAGTGCGCCTGGGCATCAGCTAGTATTCCTCCTTAAGTGGAGATGGATCTTTTTTGAACTTTTTTCTGCCGGAAAATCTGACTGACTCGAGCCTCGATTTGACTGCGAGGTCCAAGATATGCGCCCCGACACAACCGCATATCTAGCTGTATGGTTAGTCGGGTACTCCTTGCATCATCATGAAGTAGAAGCACATTAGAATCGGATCTCTGTGAGTTTTCCCAGATGCTCGTATCTTCCCTAGGTACGGATCAACAACATGCAGGTCCCGGTGGAGGAGGTCGCAGAGGTGTTGGGAGCGGTAGTCAACCCGCGTTGCTGGATAGAGACGGGGGTTTCCGAGATTTGAAGATGCTTGAGGATAGTCTCGGGCAGGTGATCACTCCTTAACTCGAGAGATTTGCTGCGTATCCTCGTTGATGGAACAGGTGACCATCATGGGTCTTGTCGAGCGAGAAGTGACAAGCTCCGGCGAGCTTCTCCAGGCGTATGAGGGGGCTATCAGTCTGAGAGCCGTCGGTAGCACCGCTATCAACCAGCAGAGTTCACGGAGTCACTGCACACTCCAGATACAGGTGAATTGCGATTTTTCTGGTCGCCGGAAAGAACTGTTATGACAGGTCCAAAAAAGGCAACGCAACGCACCTGCAGGTGCTCCAGTAGCATCTTCCGGAAGAGGACGGAGGTCAGAATAAAACTTACTCGTGAACTCCGTTGCTCGCATCATCGTAGGGATTCTTTTCAGGTCGGGTCTGTCTTTCCATGAGCAGAAGAAAGTCGTGCCGATGGGTCGAATCATGCTGGTGGACCTCGCTGGCCTTGAGGACAATCGTGTGGTGGGTCGCTCGAATGAGTCGCTCCCTTCAGGGAGTCTGCTTCCTCTAGACAGGAAATGTCGGCGGAGCTCTGAGAGAGTCTACAGCGATCAATACAAGTCACTTTGCGCTCGCCCGAATGCTCTGGGCCCTCAAGAAAAATAGAGTAGATGATGAGATGTGCTGATTAGCCGATGTGTATTTTACGCTTTAGAATGTGCCCTACCGTAATTCAAAGCTAACGAGGCTCTTTCAAAACTCGATGGAACCCAGCATTCCTTTGCCGGTGAGTGTTCTTGCTATTGGGTGAAGCATCTCACTGGCAGGCGCCTCCCATGGTGTTAATGTTGGTAACGGTGAGTCCCGCTACTAAGCGTTTCCAGGCGACTTACAACACTTTCTCGGCGATACAGGTTATTTCCTGTTTGAGTACAAAGCAATACTAGCTGCCTGTCAGATAGACTACAAGACGATCTCGGCCGAGGAGTGCGAGGGCATAAGGGAGGAGGCGGTGGCAGCTGTGGCTCGAGACCGAGAGATGATCGACGTTGATGATGACGATGATGTGGATGCCATGTCGGTCACTTATGAAGGGTGATCTCACCCTCGCTGCTATCGTGTTATGCTCGTGTGCCGTTCAGGAGCGAGGACCCCAATCCCAGTGGGTTTCTAAGCCCGCATGATTCTCTGCTCATCGACACGCGGCCGCCTCTGCCAAGGGTATGCTCACCTATTGCGTGGTCTTTCGGTTTTTGAGTAAACCTTTTTTTGTGGGTGATCTCGGGAAAGATCCTCTCCTTCTGAAGGATGAGGCTCGTCTCGAAGGCCATTCCAATCGTGCTAAGGACGATTTTCAGGACGATCGTTCTATGTGCCCTGTAGTGGAAGAGGAAGAGAGTTTGAAGGATGTGGACATACGAGACGATTACACCGATACGGACTGCGTAGAACCCATCAGGTTGGCGGTTTTAATCTTGTTTGCTTGAAGAGCCTACCACGGCTCAGACCATCTCCCAAGAAGCGCAGCCGTCTGGAAGGTAACGCCGCTGGTCGCGCATCAATGGCACAACTGGTGGTGAACCAAGACGTGACACCGAAGGGGAGAAGTAGAATGCCATCGGGGACTGTCACAAGGTCGATGTCGCAGAACGCTAAAGGTGACTCGGTTAGTCGTGCTTGATGTGAGGGAGTTCCTCCAGGAGTGGTAGGCGCTGTTGGTGGAGGAAGATCTAGAAGCTTGAACCCGGCGCCGACTCGTCGAGGAGCTGCTGCTAGGCGTCTGACAGGAACTCGATCGGTCGCTGATATCCAAGCTGATCAGTAAGGTCGCTCTTCTTCTTGCTAAGGTTGTTTTGGTGCTCGCAATCAGTGAATAGCTTACTAGTATCATCTGCTGTAAGTGGTGGCATCTAGTTGTTGTTGTTGTAGTGCGGCAGCTGAAATGGATACCGTCGTGAAGAAAGCAGTGGCCGGTATTGTACAGTCCATCAGAATTAAAGCCATCGAGATGATCGAACAGGTGGGTAGTCTTCAGCTTTCTCGAGAGTATCTGTCGTGTCAGGAGCTACTGCCCACCGTCGAGGCGATGGCGGAGGCTGGTATCAGAGAGGCTCTGGCTACTGGCACCTCGGATGGTCGCCGAACACGATCAAGTGAGTACCACAGGAGAGGGTCCAAGCGCTGAATGGTGTTTTGGTCAGGCTCATTGGACATAGTCGTCGAGTCGCCGACCTCTCAGCGTAAGGATTGACGTCCTACACGTGCATCTGTTTGTAACATACTGATCACTGCTTTCCCGTATCAAATTAAAAGCCCTTTTGTCGTCGATGCCCTGTCCAGTCGAGAGAGCGTAGGTAGGCTAACGAAATCACTATTGGTTTCGCTCCCCTATGTTCATGATGCTGCTATCACCGATCGATACTGCGCACGTGCCTTATGGTTTGAGTTATAGTGCGGGGTGGCCTTCCGTAAGGGAGCGGCCACAGAAAACTGATATGGGATTCCCACAATGGGGATTATTCATTGTAGTGCTAGTGATGGATGTTACAGTAGTTATACTCATCTGCACTGTAAAGGGCCGCGGAGGCGCAGCGAACTTTTCTGGAAGGTTTTTCTGACAGAATTCTAGACGTCAGGCTCACACTTGTTGACACCACAACTGAACCGTATAGCCCTTCGCGAGATCTTCCAATGGGCACTACTAGGGTCGCACTGTGATGAGAGAGATCCCAAGTAGCAGTCAGTATGTAGGCTAACGCAATGAGGACTCGTCTTGCCTCTTATGTTCATGTGGCTGCTAACATTAGTTGATATTGCGTACACGTCCGATGCTTCGTGTTGTAGTGTGGGTGGGACGGGTACAACCGTCGGTTGTATGTATGTCTATCGAAGGGTCGTCGTGGGAGACAGGATCACACTGGGAAGTGTGATGTGGCGGCCCGCCAACGGCGAGATGTGAAGCAATGTGACATGTTTCGGATGCGGGTGGAATATTCGATCACACACGAACTGAGTCTCAGACTGAGACGGTCTTGGAGTCAGAGTCCCGGAGGACAAATTTTCAGCTCAACAGATGTGAACTGGTTCTATCGTGTAGCGGTTAGCACTCTGAACTTCGAATCTGGCTATCGGGGTCCGAAACCCGTTAGAACCTTTGTCTGGGTGGAATTGTCGACTGCCTTGATTGTCACGAATCATACCTTCTAGGGTCATACGGTGATTCATTATCGCTTATCCTATGAGGGCTACGCTGACACAGTATACTGGGGTTACACAAACAAGATGATCGAGATGTACTGACACGGGATTTGTGCCCACATCTCAAAAATTGTTATCACTGACACTAGCGCTAGAGCGCTGATAGAGTGACCACGCTTCTCGGGTAGTGGACCTGAAAGCAGGTTAGTGTCCCAGCAAGGAAAAGGGAAATCGACCAATTTTGGTCACATAAGTACGTCTCGTATCATCACATTAGTACACACCATGAAGAAATGATAATGAAGATCAGAGAGATATTATTTTCATAGTTCCCATATGGAGATGTATATCTATTAGTAATGAACAGCCGAGGACCACGCTTCTCGTGCAACACCACTGCAAGATGGGGAGAAATTGGCTGATTTCATGCTGCGAGGACTGTGCGGCCGCTGGATGCCATATTTTAGGGGTATGGACGCTATCCGAAAGTCTGTATTCACTACAGTGTAGTTTGCCGCACGATAATGATGTTTCCGTTCGTATACCACTGCATCCTACCTACCATTCTGTTTTATATCACTGCTACGTCACAGCGTCGTGTGTCGCGCGTTCGACTCTCCAGTGGGTACGACATGCCCTTGTTGGGGTTGGGTCTGGGTCATTACAAAAACGAGACTGAAGTGGAAGAGATGGTCCTGATGTTCTTGGAACTAGGCGGGAGGCACATCGACACTGCGATAGTGTACGTACATTCGGCGATTTCTGGCACAATACACGCAAGTAACAGGTACGAAAATCAAGGTGCTGTCGGCAGAGCTGTGAAGAAATCTGGAATACCACGGGAAGAAGTCTTCATCACATCGAAGATACCTCCACAAAGAATGGGCTACGACTCAACGTTCAAGGCTATCCTGGAGATTGTCGAGGAGATTGATCTCGGCTATATTGATATGATACTCATTCATTGGCCCTCGCTGTTGGAGACGACGTTGCCATGTAGGAAGGAGGCTCTTCGGCCTCTGAAATTTACGGTGCGACGTTCCACACTTTCTCATCCAGCGAAGAGAGCACTGAAGTTTCTCTGTTATGACAAGGGCCTATTTGATACCATCATAACAGGTACAACCAACGATGGCAGCTGGAAGCATTGTAGACTTGGTTCCTGGGCTGCTATGGAACAAATGGTACATGCCGGCTTGGTAGGGAAAATAGGATACTCAACGATGCGAATCAATGTCTCTTGTTAACAGGTCAGAAGCATTGGCGTCAGCAACTTTGGAACTCGTCATTTGGAAGAGCTTAGACCTTTCGCTTCACTATGGCCACCAGCGACCAATCAGTTTGAGGTTCACCCTTTGCTGCCCGAAAATGACCTCGTCAGCTATTGCCGAGCAAACGGTGAGTGTTTTAATGGAGTTCGTGCATCACTACATTCGATTGTTTGCCCAGGTATAGCTGTTACGGCCTACGGCTCGTTAGGGGGACCACAGCGAGCGAAAGAGTTCACCAACTCGAGTGTTCTGCGTGCAATTGGTGAACGATACAACAAAACTCCAGCACAGGTAGGCTTCTCGTTGACAACTGATAGCGTCGCAGCTCGTCGTGAAGGTGCTCTTGCGCTGGGCTCTGCAGCAGCAATTCGCTATCATACCGATGAGTCGGAAGAGAAGTCGAATGATCGAGAACTTGGACGTCCTTGATTTCATTCTGAGTAGAGACGACTACCACTCAATAGCTGAATTTGTGATT